CTTAACTGAAATGACAGCTACATATGAAACTAATTATACTAAAGCATATTTAAAATAATCTTTTTAAAGATTTAATAATATTAGTATAAAAGTCAAGGTCATGGACTTTGTGTTGTTGCACAGAACAAAAGGAAATATGTCAGAGGAAGAAAAAGGAATATAAATCAATTGTCTGAGATTTTTAGGTCATAGAATTTGTCTTAATTCCAGAAGCCTTTAGGGAAAAGGCTTTTTATTTTGAAATAATTTCAAACTTACAGAAAAGTTATAATACTGAATTCCCATACCCCCTTTATTCAGATTCATCAGTTTTTGACATTTGCCCTCATTCTTTCTATACATACAACTTATTTTCCTGAGCCATCTTAGAATAGGTTAAATACAAAATACATCCTTTTCCTCCTCCTTATCTTCCTCCTCCTTCTCCCCTTTCACCTTTCCTCCCACAGCTCCTTTTTTTTTTTTTTTATTGTACTGGAAATAGATCCCAGGGGCACTCTACCACTGAGCTATATTCCCAGCCCCCTCTCCCTTTTATTAATTTTTATTTTGAGATGGGGTCTTGCTAAGTTGCTGAGGCCAGCCTCAAACTTGAGATCCTTCTGCCTCAGCCTCCTGAATCACTGGGATTGCATACTTTATTCTTTAATAACAGTAGTATGTATATTCTAAAAACAAAGGTGTTCATTCTGGAATCACAATATAGTTATCAAATTCAGGAAATATGACCTTGATACTCCAATCTAGCATCTGTATTTAAATTTTGTTAATTGTCCCCGAAAAGATGAGGTTTTTGTTGTTGTTTGTTTGGTGCTGGGGATTGAACCCAGGGCCTCACCCACATGCTCTACCACTGAGCTACATTCCCAGCTAAAAAGATGAGTTTTAAGAAGAGTCATGTAACAATTTTTATAATTTAAACTTTAAAACTTGTGGGAATTAAGCCATAGAAGACCTCAGAAGTTTGGTAATGATTGAAAAAGTATTTAACAGGAAAGCATGAATGCGCAGGCTCAGATTACAGTATAGATGGGACTTACTTGCCCTCATACGAGAGTTTAGTTCTGGAGAGCCCATTTGGTGAAGTAGTTCCTAGGAGGCTGTGTATTCTGGATGCAGGGACGGTGCATTTTGTTGAGCTTCCATGTAAAAAGTACACTGACTTGTCATTACCGGGTCTTTACAATACTTAAACGATCTTCTTTGGAACTTCTGTTTGTGTTCAGGCTTCTGGCCAGCTAGGCCAAGGGAGGGAGGGACAGCTTGGGGAAGCAGATCCTGCCATATATCCCCAACAACGTGGTCCCTGATGCCTTAGCAGCCAGACGTCTGAAATGTCGGTTCTGGGAGACTTTGCAGGACCTGCAACCCTTCCTCGTCCACCTAAGGCACCGTCGCAGGTGTGATTGGGCGCGGGCGCCAGACTCCGGACGTCATTTCCGGTTTGGTCTGTTGGGAGTTGGTGACCGCAGCCGAGGCCAAGTCCAGCCTGCCAAGGTTGTGTCAGCCCCAATACTGGACGCCTCTGGAAGCCATGGCTTCCCCGCTGAAGCTAGAGCAAGACGTGCAGGGGAAAGTAGATTCGTTCCGTGCCCGTATCGCACAGGAGGCCGAGGATCTGGTGTCCACCTTCTTCCCCCAGAAGTTGTCAGAGCTGGATAGCCGGGTCCAGGAGCTCCGGCTGCAAGACCTGTCCAGAATCCGTTCGGTGCCAGCCCCGGAGCCGCCCGCCACCCCAGACACCGCGGGGGGTGGTCCCAACCGGGATCCTCTGCCTCTGCAGACCCAGTCTTCAGTCAAGGTGCCTGGTGGCGAGGGACGTCTTCTGAGGAGCAACCAGCATCTGGTGGAGCTGATTGAACGGGTAAAACCTGAGATTGAGCTGCTGAGAGAGAAATGCAACACTGTGCGGATGTGGGTGCAGCTGCTCATCCCGAAGGTGGAAGACGGCAATAACTTTGGAGTGTCTATCCAGGAAGACACCGTGGACCAGCTATGGACTGTGGAGAGCACAGCAGCCTCCTACCTACGCCGCTTCTCCACCTACTATAACACCCGGGCCAAACTGGTGTCCAAGATAGTGAAGTACCCCCAAGTGGAAGATTATCGCCGCACCGTAGCAGAGGTCGACGAAAACGAGTACTTGAGCGTACGCCAGATCCTGCTGCATGTGCGGAACCAGTATGCCACCTTGCATGATGTGATCCTCAAAAATATTGAGAAAATCAAGACCCCTAGGAGCACCAACACCGACAACCTGTACTGAAGACCTTTCTCCACCCCTCTTTACTTCAGGAGTTGGCCGAGCTGTTAAGGCAGCTAGAAGGCTGGTTATTAACGACTCTACAGATGATCGAAATGACTGAGAACCTGTTATCATTTAGTTAGAATTTCATACAGCTATCCTCACACTGAATCCTCTTTTGGTATTATTTTTTATTTTCCTTTTGGGGTAGTATGGGTACAAACCATCTGGTAGAATGTGGTAAGGTTGTCCAAGGAGAAAGGACTGCCATTTTAAAAGCAGCTTTGTGGATGATTGTTGGCCAAGGTTTATTTATTATGGCATTGATGACATTGAATGGCTTCAGGGGTTCCTTATAAAGTTTAAAGGAGAGTTAAATGAAACTTTTCCTGAGCTTCTACTAAATGTTACTTTTTCAAAACTGAGAAATACTCCTTAACACCATAATTTTTTTTTCCAAGAAGGGAGTTTAAAGATACATGTTTAGGTCATTGTATGCCTCCAATTTAGCAGATTGAAATAAAACATGATTATATCATTTTATGATGGTCTATTGTACTTATCTGAACTTTAATTTTCAGAAGTATGGGGTTCCCCTCCTCCTCAGTTGTACTCACACCCTTGATATTTTTCCATACTGATACATAAGAATAGATTTTATTTTATTTTATTATTTTTTTTTAGAAGAACTTAGGCTGTCAGAGCCAAAGGCCATTCTAAAGCACTATTTTATTTTATTTTTTAGAAGAGAGAGAATTTTTAATATTTATTTTTTAGTTTTCAGCAGACACAACATCTTTGTTTGTATGTGGTGCTGAGGATCGAACCCGGGCCGCACGCACGCCAGGCGAGCGCGCTACCGCTTGAGCCACATCCCCAGCCCAAGAATAGATTTTAGTTCTCCTAAAGAAATGAACTTCCACCTTTCTTAGAATGAAGAGAAATCTGTGAACAAGGCTTTCTTACATAACCTTCTTCTGCATATACATTTATCTCAGAAATGCATGGTAAACCCTTCAAGTCTTAAATCACATTTACTTTTTAAAGCCCTTGTTAGAATTTCCCTCTCACATCGTATTGTTCATTCTTTCAATATAAATGTGACTGGTTCTTCTTCCATCTGCTTGCTTTGCTGTCTTGTTGAGGGGAAACCTGTTTATAGTTCTCAATAGTCACCTGTACTACTGGTATTTTTAAAGTTAAGCATTTACAGATTTCATTTACAGGTAAGGTAAAGTACTGTTCTGTGAGCCATGTTATGCACCATGGAGAATTTGGGGGCTTATGATGTGATGTGATGAATTAGTCCTTTTTCCAAAAAGGTTTTGTTCAGAGTTTCATCTTTTTTGATGATAAAAGTATTTTAGTCACTTGAAATATATTTATTCAAAACACCATTGTCTCAGTGTAATTTGAGGATATTGACCACTCAACACTACCCATGAAAATTATATAGCACAAGTTTGATAAGAGGGTGAGTATGAGTTAATTTTTGATGTCTTTTAGTTTATAGGGATGAGATTATTTCTATGCATAATTGACAGCTTCATCTCTTTTTCACATTTAACTAACTAGACTGTGCTCTGAATTCTCATGATATTTTTAAGACTATATATAAAAAAGGTATATCCTTAATCTTTTAATATATTTTGTAATAATATTTGCAAGCAACAATTTACTTCTCACATGAACTTTTTGTAGGAAAATTATGGAGAGTAAACTTATATTTTTGTAAGGAATGAGAATATATTTTCCAATGAAATTTTTTTTCTACATAAGACCTTGTAAAACAAGGTGACCATATAAGAATCAGAGTCTAGTATCTATTATTAAATCATTTGTAATTCCACTTTTTATTTTCCTTTATAGAATATCTTTGTAAGGATAGAACAAGATGATTTCTTGCTGTGAATGAAATTAACCTGATATCTTGCTATAACATGACTATATTATCTTTTTTTAAAAAAACTGATTCTAAGAATTCTCCTTCCCCACTACCAATTTCCCGATTTAATAAGATAAATCACTTTTGAATGAGACTTTTTTCCTTTCAGAGGGTCTTCAGAAATATGTTTTGGTTACCAAGGGTGAAAAACAACATGAATCTTGATTGTGCAGACTTGACTCTAAAAGCTGCTGTAAAAATGATTTCCTACTTAGCAACAAGAATTTTTTGACGTGTAAAGCTGAGGTGTATTCTTTTGCATGTTTTTTTAAAAAAATAAATATTTCTGAGTTTGAACCCATTATTGGTGGGTAGTTTTTTTGGTTATTCTAAGGGAGTAGTGATACTCATAGTTTTTCTGAGGCAATGTCATTATCTGTCCAGAAAGTATCTGATTCCTGGAATTTCATTTGCTTTTTCACTTTCCTGTCTGTGTCACCTGAAGGAATAAAAAAGGAATATATTTCTCCATGAACAAGGAGAATTAATTTGAGACACAAAATTGTTTTAATCACCATTTAAAAATTTTTATCTATAGTTATACCCAGAAAATGTACTTTATACTTTGGGCCATACTAAAATGCATATGAATATTTGCCTATTCTAAACCATGGAAATTGAAAAAAAATTTTAAGCTGGCTTAGTGGAAAGTTTATTTTTAAAGTAAACTTCCCAAATATGATAACAAGGTAAAACAGGTTTATTCTTTATATATATATATATATATATATATATATTTTTTTTTTTTTTTTTTTTTTTCTTTTTTTATAATTCATAAAAAAAAAAATCTGAAAAAAAAAAAAAAGATTCCCTAATAGACATCTTGCTTGCATTTCACCTCTGCCTCCCAAGAGTTCTCTTTATTTCCCTTCTAAGGTTTATACTTGATTCAGAAAAGTGCCAGGAATTTCATCATTTGAATGGCATTTAGTTGTTCATAAGTGTGAAATGGACTACGTAAGGAGTATCTAAGTGTTGCTTCATTTTTCAACTGACAGTAATCCTCTATGGTTTTAAAAGATCTGTTCTTTGCATAATAGCAATCATCTTTGTGCTGTTCTTTTTACTCTTAAACTATTAAACGCTAAGCCAGACTGAAATAAATTGTTTCTAATCCCAGGCATTCCTTTTACTAAGAAAATATGCAAGTACTTTGTATTAAAGATTTCTGGTATTTACATTTTGCTTCCTGCTCTAACACTGTATCAAACTAAATTGATGGTGGAATGCAAAGTCCCTACTTTGCAAAAATGAATCCCTTTGTGATTTTCCCTTTTCTCGAAAATGGTTGGAAAAGCTTTTATAGTAATAAGCCTATTTTAGAATTAATGTTAAAACATGGTATCCATTATGAATCAGTTGTCTGTTATTTGAGTAGAGATTTAAAGCCTGTTTTGTCCCTTTTAATAAGACAACTGAAAAGAGGAGGAGAAATAATATGCATTGTGTGTTTACGAAGTAGGTTTACATTGAAGAAAACTTCAGAAATGAAAAGACCTGCCATGTTCATGGATAGGCAGAATTAGTGTTGTTAAAATGGCCATTCTACCAAAAGCAATATACATATTCAGTGCAATCCCCATCAAAATACCAGTGATATTCTTCATGAAATTTTTTTAAAAGTCCTAAAATTCATTTGAAAGAAAGACTGATAAGAGCCAAAGCAATTCTAAGCCAAAAAAAGCAATGCTAGAGGCCATAATACCTGACTTCGGATTATAATATGGAGCTATAGTAACAAAAACTGCATGGTACTGGCATAAAAACATACATAGATCAGTGGTACAGAACAGAAGACACAGAGACAGACCCATACATCTATCATCATCTGATCCTTGGCAAAGGTGCAAAAACATACATTGGAGAGAAGAGCTCTTTTAAGAAATGGTGCTGAGACAACTGGTTATCCATATGTAGAAGAATGAAACTAGACCCTTATTTCTCAGCCTGCACAAAAATCAACTCAAAATGGATCAAACACCTTGGAATTAGACCAGAAACTATGCAACTTCTAGAATAAATAAAGTAGGGTCAAGAGGCTGGGGCTGTAGCTCAGTGATACAGTGTTTGCCTAGTGTGTATGAAGCACTGGGTTCAATCCTCAATACCACATAAAAAATAAATAAATAAAATAAAGGCATTGTGTCCATCTACAACTAAAAATATATTTTTTAAAAATGTAGGGTCAACATTCCAGGGCTCCTAAAGTTAATAAATGGGATGGTGTCAAATTAAAAAGCTCTGCACAACAAAGGAAACAATTTGGAATGTGAAGAGAGAACCTAAAGAACCTGAGGAAATCTTTGCTAGTTACTCTTCTGACAGAGGATTAACATCTAGAAGATATAAAGGAAGAAAAAACTTTACACCAAAAATCAAATAACCCAGTTAATAAATGGGCAGGTGAATTAAACAGACACTTCTCAGAAGAAATACAAATGGCCAACAGATATATAAAAAAAGTTCAACATTATTAGCAATTAGAGAAATACAAATCAAAACCATACTAAGAGTCATCTCACACCAGTCATAACGGCAATCATCAAAAATACAAATAATAATAAATGCTGGAGAGGATGTGAAGAAAAAGGACCTTTTACATTGTTGGTAGGACTGTAAATTAGTATAAGCACTACGGAAATCAGTATGGAGGTTTCCTAAAAGACTAGGCATTGCATCACCATATGGCCCAGCTATACCACTCTTCCATATTTATCCTAAAGAATTAAAGTCATCATGTAGTGATACATGCATACCCATGTTTATGGAAGCACCAATCTAGTCTATCAACAGTTGAATGGATAAAGAGAAAATCAATGTGTATACACACACACACACACAATGGAATTTTATTCAGCCATAAAGAAAATTGAAATTATATCATTTGCAGGAAAATAGGTAGAACTAGAGACCATTATGTTGAGCAAAATAAGTCAAACTTAGAAGGTCAAGGGTCCAAGAGTCTTAAGTTTTCTTTCATATATGGAAGCTAGAGAGGAAAAGGAAAAGAAAGTGGGGGTTGGGGACCTCATGAAAATCAAAGGGAGATCAGTAGAGGAAAGGGACCAGTGTGTGG